TAAAATAAAAATTTTTAATGAATAAAATAAAATACACAAATAAAAACAGAAATAACAAATTAAAAATGTTAATAAAAATGAAAAACAATTAAAAATCGCAAATACAAATAAAACTTAAAAATAAAAAGTACAAAAATATAACTGAAAGTGAAATAAATAAAATCGTAAAAAAGAGGTGGAGAATAAATAAAAGATGTTAAAAAGCAGATAAATATAAAAAATTCAAAACAGAAAATATGACGAATTTTACACATAGCTATAATATTTGTTGTAAAAAAGAAATAGAGAAATAAAATTACACGAAATGATGTTTTATTACTGTTGTTGAAAATTTGAATAGTCCTTATTCAATGAAATAAAATTAATTTCTACTGGCAAACCTTAAGGGGGAGAGAAAATGAAATATTCACTTTTTTTTTCTTCGCTGTTTTTTTATTATATGCTTTTTTACAGTCCCTCGAGACAAAGTCTATAACTGAGTCGGAAATCAAGCCCGCAGGAAAATTAATGAAACTTTTTTGCTGAAAGCCAAGGGCAATAGAACATCATACCAGATGACGTATTAATTATAGATTGACAGCTTTCGTAAAAATACAAAGCACAGTCCATATTTATTTTTTTTTTTCCCCGATAGCAAAAAAAAAAAAGGAAGTGACAACTGCAAATGAAAAAACAAGCGTTTCAAAAGCAATTCGGTCAATCGCTTTTCCGAGTGACACAATCAAGTGGAATTCTTTTTTTTAGGCTAGTATAATATCTCTCATATTCGGATAAATTTATTATTCTCCTGTCCTCATTTCTTTTTTCTAATTTTTTTTTTTTCATTGAGAAAATTCTATTTTTCTCGATGACAAATTTTCGAACAAATTTTTGCAATACCAACAAAGGAATTTTTTATTTTTTGAAATATTTAGCAGAGGGGAAAAAATTTGGAAAATACTGTGAGAATGTACAATAGGGCGATAAATGTACGTGCCTTTTTATGAATAATAATAGAATAATTTGCTAGAGAAGCACTTAGAGGAATAGAATATCTTATTCTGATTGCCGAGAAGCATTTTGTGGTGTCGTTACTCTCAATGGTACATGCACAGAATTATTATGGGGCTTTTCCCGGAAAATGTGGACGATTTCCGTCTGTGAGATGTACGACTCACTAGATAAAAGATATAAAAATCACCATTGTGGATATAAAAGGAGAAAAAAAAACAAATATATAAATTAAAAATAAATAAACTAGGGAGCTTTTGATTAAAATATGTCGGAGATTTTTTGTTTTGGCTAATTGAATCCGTCAAATGTGAAAGTAGATTAATTTTTTCTCGTTACAGACAGTGGGATATTACATTCATTAAAGTAAATAAAATCCCCAAGCAGATAAAAATAAATAATAATGAAAACAAAAATCTATCAAAATGTCTCTTTTTTAAATTTAATTTTTCATTATAATAACAACCGTACGTAATGAGAAGATATTTTAATATTTTCTTTAATAGAAAATATTATTTAAATCGGGATTGCATTTAGGGGGATTTAATACACTTTACTAATTGAGCAGGAGAAGCGGCCCCCACCACGAGGGGCCTTACCCCCTCTACTTGTCTTATTAACCAAGAGAGGGGAGCGCTTCTCTTCAATTAATTTTTGTTAGCTGCTAATTATAAATAAATATCTGTACATTTTCTTCAAAATATAAATTTTCTGAAGTGCGTTCACGTAACTTTTACTTTTACTCAAAAAATTTTCACATTTAATTTCACCCAAAGAATTTTTACACTCAAAACCAACAAAAATTTTTTATTTTTAATTTCACCAAAAAAATTTTTCACTTTCGCGAAAAAAACTTTCACTTTAAATTACACTTAAAATATTTTCACTTGCAAACAAAAAATTTTCACTTTAACTTAAAAAATTTTTATTTACACTAAAAAAATTATCACTTTCAATTTCGCAATAAAAAACATTTCACTTTCAATAAAGAAATTTTCTGTGAAATTGTAAGTAGAATTGTTTTTATTGAAAGTGAATGTTAAAATATTTTGAGTTAAAGTGAAAATATTTTGCGTTACATTCAAAGTGAAAATACTTTTTGAGTGAAAGTGAAAATAATTTTTGTGAAATGTAAAGTTAAAATATTTTGGGTGAAATTAAATATGAAAATTTGTTGTAAAAATTGAAATTATGAATCTTTTAGTAGTGAAAATTCTTTGAGTGAAATTCTAAGTGGACATTTTTCATAGAACGTGAAAGTATTTTGGGTGAAATTGAAAGTGAAAATTTTTTAATTGACAGTAAAAGTAAAAATTTTTTTTGTTGAAAGTGAAAATATTTTGGGTAAAATTGGAATTGTTTTGATTGAAGCAGAGAATTTTTTGAGTGAAGGTGAAAATTATTTGCGTTAAAGTGCAAATTTTATGAGTGAAAGTGAAAATTTCTATGATAAAATTAAAAATTGTTTAAGTGGATTTGAAAGTGGAAATTTTTTGAGTGAAAGTGAAAGTTACGTGAACGCACCCCCATTAAATAAATTGATATTTAAAATAAACATTTTTATTTTTAATTAAATATTATTAGGATATTTTAACGAAAATATTTGTCTCTATTAATATATTAAATATAAAATAGGTTTCACAATCAGTGGAAGAAAAAATAAAATCATTTTAATGAAATATTCAGATTTTTTAACGGAAACAATTTGTTTCTATTATAATATCAATATCAAATATAAAATAAATTTATAATCAGTAGAAGAAATAATAAAAACAATTGTACAAAATAAAAAATTGCAATAAATAAAAAAGACTTCTAATTTTTCATTTAAAACTTATTGACAAAATATAAAAGTTGAATGTAAATAAAAATTAAAAATTGTCATGAATGTAAAACAAAAATTAAAAATAGTTTCTTGCTTCGAAAAATAATATAGAAATTAAAAGTAAACAATGTTTTAATTAGATTTTGATATCCGAACTAAAATAAATTGACTAGCATATTTGTGTTTTGATTTACAATTAATTTATAATTGAATTAGAATTAATTTGAAATTAGTTTAAAATTTATTTGAAATAATTACTTTAGAACTAATTTCTAACTAATTCTGAATTAATTCTAAATTCATAAAAAAAAAATATTAAGGAGAGGGTACACCTATATTTTTAACTGCATTAAAGAAATAATTTAAATATTCAACAAAATTAATTTTAAAGTAATTTTTTGTGAGGAATTCAATTGTCATAAAATAAAATCAGTCAGAAAATATTTTTACTCTTTTATAATTCTTATTTTTCTTAAAAATTGCGGTGGATTTTGAAATCCATACGTACTTTTATTTTCTACTGTGTAGAAAATATGTTTTTGAATCCACAAAAAATGTCCAAATAAAAAAATTTGATTTTCATAATTTTTATAGCATTTTTTTTTAAATCTCGGTTTTTAGGCTGAAAATGCTAAAAAATACAATTATTCTTCATTTTTAAAAAATGAAAATTCATATGTTTATTTTTCTAACTAATTTCAGATCATAATTTTTATAAATAAAAATACAAAAAAATTAGGATAAAATTGTGATCTGAAATTGGTTAGAAAAATAAACAAATGAATTTTCATTTTAAAAAAATGAAGAATAATTGTATTTTTTAGCATTTTTAGCCTAAAAATTTTTTTAAAAAAATGCTATAAAAATTATGAAAATCCATTTTTTTATTTGGACATTTTTTTGTGGATTCAAAAACATTTTTTCTACAAAATTACGTATGGATTTCAAAGTCCACAAATTTTTAAGAAAAATAAAAATCCAAAAAGGGTCAAAATATTTTCTGATTAATTTTATTTTATGACCATTGAATTCTTCAAAAAAAATTACTTTAAAATATTTGTTGAATATTTTAATAATTTCTTTAATATAGTTAAAACTTAAGAATATAGGTGCACCCTTCCCTTAAAGAATTTATTTAGAATAAATTCATTTTAAATTTCACTATATGAATAATTTGAAAAAAAACAATATTTAGAGAAATCAATAAGTAATTTTACGAACGGGAATTATCTTTGGAATGCGACTAAGTTATTCTCATAATTCATGATTTGAAAATTTTCTGAATTGTTTTATATATTAAATCGATTGGAAATAAAAATATCTGCTTATTTCAATTATTTTTAAAATATACTTTAATTTATGCAAAAAAATTTCTAATTGAATGTCTTCTTTAAAAATTATTATTTTTAATTTTCTTCTAAGAAAATATTTTGACTATTGATTTTTTTTTTTTGAGGGAATAAATAACTATTTCTACTCATAAAAACAAAACAGAAATATTAAAGAATAAATATAATATCAGTATATATAAAAATAAATAAATATAAAACAAAAGTAATAAAAATAAATAAAGAAAATGTTTAAACAGATTTTTGTGAGAATTGAAAAAGTTAAAATAAGGAAAACTTTTTTTTAGTTTCAATATAACAGATGTATAAATAATTTTCAGGGAAATATATATATATATAAATATATACATATGTTTAATGCATGGTGGGCGCATTATCTTGTACCTGTCTCCGAAACAGTACAACTTTGTATGGCTTCCTGAATTCATAGTATACAATATATGTATATAGCCTCGTTTTAAGCTTCACGTAGTTTCTCCAGTTTTGCAAAGTTAAAAATTCTCAATGAGACCCTCCAGTTGAAACCGTTTCTATGCGTGACATGTACAACACATTCATGCATGTAACTTGAATAATAAACACTGATGTTACAATTTGATGAATTACGACTTAGATTTAAATTTCACAACTTTCGCAATACATTTTTTGTTTGACGGACTTTTATATTTTTACTAATTTTTTTTCAGAGAAAAAACGCAGTTCCATATTTATAATAGTTAGAATAATTTCACATAATTTTTACCATATTTTGGAAAAAATTTATTTTTGTTACCTATTTTAAAACCTAGTGGATAAAAAATTCATTGAGTCTAATTGAAGGTAAATTTACTTTTCAGATTGTCGAGGAAAAAAAGAGAGAGAGGAGGAGAAAGAAAAATTTTTTTTTTTTTTTTGAAATGAATCGTGAAATGTTGAGATTATTGGCTTTTGATAACGAGATGATGGAATGGATTAATTTAGAAAGCAATAAACTTGAACAAATGTTGAATTCCTGTTGGTGAAGATGCTTGTGGACGAGTGCGGGGGTGGCATGGGATGGTCCGCAAGTGTCCGAGGGGGTTGGTCAACCCCCGGGGGATGCGGAAATTCCGCCATGAGCTTCGCGGGAAGTGTTCCGTCTTTACATCCAACAGGATCGATTAGATCACTTCGATCACATCACTCCGCTATGGTGAGTTCATTTTTCTAATTAACTTTGTTTCAAAAAATATTCTTTTGAATGATTTCAAAAAAAAAATTAAAGAATAAGAATAAATAAATTATTTAGAAAATTAGAATATAAATACTTTGGAGAAGGGGTTATTTCCTTAAATTCTACTAGAATTTTTTTTAAATTATTAAAATAAAAATAAAATAAATAATAAAATAAATAACTTTTTTTTCTATACAAATTCTCTTCTTTCTTGATAATAATTTAGAAACAAAAATAATATCATTATAATTGATATTAAAACAAAAAAAGCACTCAATAATTAATTTTAAAAAAGTAGTAAAAAAAAAAAAAAAGTAGTAGAAAAGTAGCTATTATGAAAAAGAAAAATTAAATTTGACGACTAAAAACAACTCTTTTCAAATGATTCAGAAAAATTACAAAAATTTTTATTCTTCATTTTTTCTAATTTTCATCAAAAAAATTTACCTTTTTTCTCATACTGCTAATATAACTTGAATTCTAAATTTTAATTTTTAATTGTACAAAAATACGATTATATTTAAAAATAAAGTTTGAATGTAGAAACAAAATTTATTTAAATTATTTGACAATACTTCTAAATAATTAGAAATATAATTTAATCTTCTAAAAATAATGCACAGGAATTCAACTACCTTGAAAAAATCAAAACATTTTAATTACAATTTTTCGAAAGACGAATATTTCTCATAATTTTCAAATTAAATTACATTCAAAACATGAATAATTTTTGTTAAATAAATATTTAAATACTCATTTATTTATCCACAGAAATTACAATTACAATATTCTAAATGATTACTGTGTAAAATCTTTTTGAAATTTAACAACTTCTAAAAATTACAACTGTAATTCTTCCAAAATTCATTAAATTTTTTGTTGATGTTTTTAATGAAAATTATTCAAAACTTTAATAATTTAAAAAAAAATTAATTTACGGTATTTAAAAAAAGTAAAAAGCTGAATATTGTTACAGTTTTACAACAATTAAAATTTTCAAAAAGATTACAATTTAAAAATCTTTTGAAATTTAATTATTTCTAAAAATTCATAATATAACACTTCTAATATTTAATTATCAACTAAATTTTTAATTGAAATTCAATTTTAAATCAATTCTTAGAACTTTCAATCAATTCTTGGAACTTAGAAAGTTCCACAAAAATTCAATTATTTAAATAAAAAAATAAATAATTTATTAAATAATTGAATATTTCTTAAAATTGAATTCTTATAAAGAATTTTTTCAAAATTTCTTAAAATAATTGAAATTCTTTCAAAGAATTTTAATAACATTTTTAAAAATTACTGCATTTTTCCAGGAATTCATTTAAAATTTTATTAAAAAATTGAAATTCTGTGAAACGTATTATTATTTATAAAAATAATTTAAGTTTTGCAAAGAATAAAATTTTTTAAATACTTGATTTTGTTCGAAAAAGTTTATGAAATTTGTATTTTATGCCATTGAATTCCTGTAAAAATTTTATTAACTATAAAAATATTTAAATTTCTGTGAAGAAATTTATTAAAATTATATTTAAAATAATTGAATTTCTTAGAAGAATTTTATTATTTACAAAAATAATTGAATTCTTGACATTAATTTTACAATTTATAAAAATAATTTAATAAATTAGAAGAATTTTATCAAAATTGTTGAAAATAATTGAATTTAAATAATATTTTTAAAAAATTGTATTCATTCGAAAAACTTTATTAAAATTGTATGGAAATTAATTGAATTCCTACAAAACTCTTTTATTATTTATGAAAATAATTGAATTTCTTGAAAGAATTTTCTTACTTATGTTAATATTTTAATTCTTGCGAAGAATTAATTTACAACAATAATTGAATTCTTGACAAGAATTTTATCAGAATTGTTGAAAATAATTGAATTTTTATTAAAACTCTTCAAAATAATTGAATTTAAATAACATTTTTTCAAAATAATTGTATTCTTTCGAGAAATTGTATTAAAATTATATTTAAAATAATTTAATGTTTCAGAAGAATTTTATTATTTACAAAAATAATTGAATTCTTGACAAGAATTTTACAATTTATAAAAATAATTTAATTGTTTAGAAAAATTTTATCAGACTAGATGAAAATAATTGAATTCCTTTGAAGAATTTTATTATTTATGTTATTATTTTAATTCTTGCGAAGAATTAATTGACAAAAATAATTGAATTCTTGACAAGAATTTTATCAGAATTGTTGAAAATAATTGAATTTTTATTAAAACTCTTAAAAATAATTAAATTTAAATAATATTTTAAAAATAATTGTATTCTTTAGAGAAATATTATTAAAATTGTATTAAAAATAATTGTATTCCTACAAAACACATTTATTATTTATGAAAATTATTGAATTCCAGCTAAGAATTTTATTATTTACTTGAATAATTGAATTCTTACAAATTTTTTTTGACGAATTTATTTAAAATTTTATTGAAAATAATTCAATTCTTATATATAGGATATGAATAAAATTTTTAAAAATAATTGAAATTCTTCGAAAAGTTGGATTAAAATTTTCAAATAATAATTGAATTCCCGAGAAGAATTTCATAAAAATTCTTTTAAATAATTGATTTTTTTCGAAAAAATTCAAAGAAAATTGTATTTTAAATAATTGAAATCCTGTAAAAATTTTATTATTTATGAAAATAATTGAATGTTTACAAAGAATTTTATTCTATGATTTTTTTAAATAATTGAATTCTTTTGAGAAATTTTATAAAATTATAGTAGATATCGAAAATAATTGAATTTCTGCGAAGATTTTCTTATTTGGGAAAATAATTGAATTCTTACGAAAAAGTTTCTTAAAATTTTTCAAAATAAATAAAGCGTTTCAAAGAAATTTACAAAATTTTTGAGAATAATTTTTTATTTCAATTATTAACTGATTTCAGTGTAAATTCTAAAAAAATAAAGAAAAAAAGTAGCTTTTAGTGTCACAAATCTAAAAAAAAGTATCCAAATTGTATCAAATCGTAAAAAAGTAGTAAATAGTTGGTTCTAGTAGATGAGTGTGAAGCCTGTAATATGAGTTGATGAAATGAGTTGTATTCGTAAAAATATTTTTTATATTTTAATCAAATTTTTCTGAAATCAAAAAGTATTTGAAAGAAGCGCCGAACGATCTTGATGTAGCGTTGCCTTCCAGGCTTAGCACTACACAACCTCCATTCGTTAAGTATACAACTTTGAAATTAATTTCCCTCAAAGAGTAGTAAGTCAATTTTTTTCAAAAGGCAAAAATAAAAATAAGCAATAAATTTTAAAGTGAATTCCGCGCGGCATGGGAATTAAATTGAATAGTGGAAATCTTTTTCTTTTGCGGGGAAGGGATAATTTTTTTTTTTTTTTGACGGGTAGTCAATTTATTTTACAGGCACCACCCGAGACACCCAGGCGCTGTTTGCACTGCCATCCAGTTCATATGTCCACTCCGAACAATTACGTTCAACACCCTGTGCAGTATTATACACCGAGTCGTTGTGCGGATAGGCAAAATGGCACCTACGTACCACAGCGGAACTCCTATCATGGAGGTGAGTACATATATATACTCATTTTTCAATTAACATAAATCTCTGACACGTTAACGAGTTCCCCTCCGGGTTTTGATATAATGCATATCAGAGAAAATTATATGCTTCTAACATCGAGCTCTCTATTTTGCATATTAAGATGATTACGCGAAATTTTTATTATTTTCATTGGAACAGAGAAAATGTTTTTCGAGTATAGGTAGTAATTAAAGAATTTGGAATTTAGAGTAATTAGAAATATTAAAGAGTTTTTATTTTGTCTTTGGGAGATGGTGACGTAATTTTCCTTCTTCAATCTCTTCGGACCCCTTGTCTTATTTCCTGTTGCAATTCTCTAATACATATTACATAGGAAGTACCTTACTTCCGCTGGACCATTGCTGATGCTGCGGTCTTCTTTGCTTTAGAACTCGGAACCACACGCTGAAAGAAATGGGGTTTTTAGGAATGGGTGGGAGGGGAAAGTGGCTGGCAATTTCAACCCCGTCGACATTTCCTTGGCTAGCCAACCTCTGCCAGTAGGATTATCATTATTATTACTGTTATTATGTTTCGCACATTAATTTTCCCCTCAACGATATATGCCCTTCTATAGATATATATATATATGTATGGAGACAGAGAGAGAGAGAGTATAACTTAGTTTCATTTGCGCAAATGTTTGTGAGGAGCAATTAGAGTAATTGCATTAGTGGCATTGTGTTTGTTCTCAAGTATCTTTTCTTAGATTCGCGTATTTTTCTCATCAGTGGATAATTACTTTTTTGCCCACAAAATATTGCGAACAGTCATCTTGTTTTTAATTTCGAACTTTTTAATTTTATCATGAGGGCTTTCATTGAAGTATAATTTTTAAATTACATGTTTTTTTAGAATCATTGTAATCGATATATCCTTTTCATGAGGCGCATCACAGTTTTGTTTATACTATCATTTTACGCTAATTACTATTAATTTATTTTTTTTTGAATTCCTTTTAAAATATTTAAAATATTTTTTATTTATTTTATTTTAATCCTAAAGGAAACTTATTAACAATCAGTAGAAGAGAGAGTAAAAAATTTTTAATTTAATTACTATTAATTTTTTTTTAATTTCTTTTTAAACCCCCACAGCACCGAAACTTTCCTAAAAATTTATTAAATATTTACTTGCAATATTCGTCATATTTAACTGAAAAGTTTAGTGAAAATTGTGTAAAGATTTAAATATCCCGATTAAATAAATGTTTAGCGCAAAGCTTTCCTGAACATTTCCTGAACATGAAATTACATCTTCGCATAATTATAATTATAATTATGCGAAGATTTTATTGAAATGTTCAGGAAAGCTTTGCGCTACACATTTATTTAATCGGGACATTTAAATCTGTACACAACTTTCAATAAACATTGCAATGAAATATTCCGAATATTTCATAAATATTTAAAAATATTTAATAAATTTTTAGGAAACTTTTGGTGCTGTGGGGGAATATTTTAAATATTTTTTATTTATTTTATTTTAATCCTAAAGAAAACTTATTAAAAATCAGTAGAAGAAACAATGAAACAATTTTAATTTAATTACTATTAATTTATTTTTTTTTCAATTCTTTTTAAAATATTTTAAATATTTTCAGGGTGGACAAGTTTTTGCTCTTTTCAAATTCCCTGACTTTTCCAGGTTAAAAACGGAATTTTTCCAGGTTTTTAAAAAAAAAATTTATTCGAAAACATCAATAACTTCATTTTTAAATAAATGTTTAATCATTATTTTTTTTATAAAAATTAAGATATTCAAATATTTTAAATTCAATAACATATAATAATTAAAACCTGCTACTTTGTTACTGTAACTTCTTCAAAAATTATTTTCATCATTACGATTATTCATATCTAGAATTTTCAACTAAAATTCTTCTTCAAGTCAATTTTTTAAAAATAATTTTTGAAAAAGTTCTTTGTGAATTTTCAAATTCTTTTGTTTACAATTTAATTTTACGAAATTTCGATTATTCTGACATTCTTCAATTAAATATATATTAGAAAATAAGAACTTCAAATAATTACAAAAAATTCCATTAAACTTATTGAGAAAAATTAATTCTATAGAATTCTTAATTGAAAGTATGAAAAGTTCAAATTATCAAATATTTTAATTTGAAATTCATTTTTAAATCAATATTTGTTAGAAATTCTTTATGAGAATTCAATATTATTTAATTATAAAAATAAATATTTTATGAAACAATTGAATATTTCTTAAAATTGAATTTTCATAAAGAATTTTTTCAACAAATTTTTAAATAATTGAATTTTCTTGACAAATTTTAATAACATTTTTAAGAATAATTGCATTTTTCGAGAAATTTGATGAAAATTGTATTAAAAATAATTGAAATTCTGCCGAGAATTTTATAAAAAAATTTTGAAAATAATTGAATTTCGGAGAAAAATGTTATTACTTATAAAGATTATTGATATTTTGACGAGAATTTTTGTAAATTTTTAAACATAATATGAATTTCTGCGAAGAATTTTATTAAAATTATTTTGAAAAAAATCGAATTGTTTCGCAAAGAATTGCATTAAAATTTTTAAAAATAATTTTATTCTTTAAGAAATTCAATTAAAAATTTATTAAAAATAATAATTAAATTCTAATAAATAAATTCTAGCAAAGTTTTTTAAAATAATTAAATTTCTTTGATAAATTTTAATAAAATTTTAAAGAATAATAACTTTTTTCGAGGAATTACATTAAAATTGTATTAAAAATAATTGAAATTCAGAATTAAGTTTTATTAGATATTTATGAAAATAATTGAATCTCTATGAAATTTTTATTATTAAAATTTTGCAAAGAATTTTATTAAAATTTTTGAAAATAATTGAATTTCTGAGAAGAATTTTACTACTTTTTAAAATAATTGAATTTCTTCAATCATTTGTAATTTTTCTTCAAAATTCAATTTGTTTTAGTGTTTTTAACTAAAATTCTTCTATAAATCCATTATTTTTAATAAAACTAGTTAAATATAATATTAAAAAATTTAACTAATTTCAGAAGAATTTTAGTTTTTAAAATTTTTTTTAAATCTAAGTTTTTTTATATTTCTAATTAAATTCATTTATAATAGAAATTGTGCAAAATTTTAAATAAAAATCTTTTAAAGTTCATCTACTTATGAAAATTATAAACGCAATTCTTTTAAAATTTAATTAATTTTGAAATATTTAAGTGAAATTAGATTTCACAGCATGTGACTGTTACAGAAATGAATGTTAATTTTTTCGACCACTTTTCTCTTAAAATATTAAATAAATGAAGCTAGTTTTTTGTGAATAACTCTAAAATATAATAAAGAAGAGCAGTGATGTGCAAAAGTTTTAATAATTCTAAAATAAATTATAAAAAAATACTTTGAAATCGGAAAAGACGAGAAACTGATTAAAAGTGATTTTGAGAACTGATAATTTTAAAGTTATTTTTTAATAAATAATTTTAAAAATATTAAAACTTTTTCACATCACTGCCCTTCTTTATGATATTTTAGAGTTATTCACAAAAAACTAGCTTAATTTATTTAATATTTTAAAAGAAAAGTGGTCGAAAAAATTAACATTGAATTCTGTAACAATCACATGCTGCTCAAGTATAAACACAATAACTTTAGAAAACAACAATTTTCCAGGATTTCGATAAAAATTCCCTGACTTTTCCAGGTTTTTTCAAGGTTTATAAAATTCCCTGACATTTCCAGGTTTTCCAGGTTACGTAGCAACCCTGATTTTTTATTTATTTTATTTTAATCCTAAAGAAAACTTATTAAAAATCAGTAGAAGAAAAAGTAAAAAAATTTCAATTCCATTAAATTACAATGTGCATAAAATTGTTACCATAATAATTATCAACAAAAATTTTGATCTTTCAGTCTGTCTTTTATTTATGCCAACTTATAACGAATATTTTATTTTTTTTTACTAAAAGTAAGTCAATTATTTCAGAATAATAACAGTTTACAGTTCTTTTTAATCCTAAAAACGTTAATTATTATGAATAATGGAAAAAAAATTTCTCCGTGGCGAATTTAAATCAAAATTCAAAAATAGTTTTTGTTTCGAAAAGGAATATGTAATTCTGAGTTCATTTCAAATTAATCGTAAATTAAAACTAAATTAATTAGTATTAATTAGAATTAATTTAGTGTTAATGATAGAACTAAATTTAAAATTAATTTAGAATGAAGAGAATGTAGTTAGTAATTTATAAAAAAATTTCTTACTATGTTTTATGGATAAATATTGTTATTTATTTAAAGATTATGCGGATCAATTTACTGCCTTGATAATTTAATGGAATTATTTTCTCAAGTCACTGAGTCAACCCTCTCGATTAGATACGGTCTCATGTGAATTAGATCTACCCCTAATCACTAAATCAAACACAATAGCGATGCTCTAATCAGCTTCATTCCGTTCACTTCAAATGTTAATTCTCTCGTTCAGAAATATGTAATTTGCCAAGAAAATTGCTCCCAATTATTGTTACATTTATAGAATTGGTTTACGAGTCACGATAATATTGAAGTAAAAATATTTTTACATCCTTATTTTTTTGGGAAAAAATTAACAGTAAAAGATTACAGTTACATTTAATTTTTATTTATAGACAGAGAGGAATTTTTTCTACTTTATTGTTATTTATCAAAAAAGAATAATAATTTTTTCCAAATTCTCTTTAAAATTGCATTACATTTCTTTGAAAGATTATTTTTTATTTAAATGACATTTTTGAAATCAAGTGACAAAGGCAAGGGGAATCAAATTTTCCTTGGAATCACAATATGGGACAGAGAAGTAAACGTAGCGGAAAGTCAACGTCTTTCCATCAAGGGAAGACTGTAACTTTTTTTTTCCTATCAAAAATTGCTCTTGTCGCACTTTTCTTCAATATATTGTATAAAATAGAAAGAGTATTAGAATCTTATTTTTTGAAATAAAATTTTAATAATTTAA